TTATTATAGCACTTACTATGGTCCTTAGATTTTAAAAAATTTTTTTTATCCGAATATATTTTCAAATTCGGCAATCCGATTGGTAGATTAGATACCCGTCGGTCACGTGATTTTTCCAAATCCGATAACCTCTCAAAACCGATACAGTACTTATCCACTATGCATACCGGTTTGGGGAGGGCCGACAGTATTTTCTTCAACTTTGTTGAGAATCCTTATTTTTTAAGTTTCTTGATGAATTAGCTCCAAGCTACAACCCACCCTCTACTGATTTATTAAGAAACAACATTCTTAATAATTTATTTTCAACTTACTTAAACAATAAGTTCAAATTAATGAAATCTTTTACAAATATTACTATCGCTTTAGATAGATAGCAAGACATATCTAGAAACTCAGTTTATAGTTTTATGGCCTTAAAAGAGAATAAGAAGTATGTTTTAGATATTGTTGATTTGTCACCAAGTCGGCATACAGCAATATTTCTAAAAGAGCAGTTAGAGAAAGTTCTTAAATCAAATTTAGTTACTATTAATTTTATTATTGCATGTGTAACTGATAGCTCTTCTGTTATGATCAAAATGAAAAATGACCTTAAAGATGAATATCCAAACATTATTCCTATCTGTTGTTGTCTTCATACTTTTAATTTGCTTGCAAAGGATGTTTTCAGTTTTCCACTTTTAGTTTCAGTTATTAAAAATAATCAAAAGCTCGTTAATTTTTTTACGCCTTCTTATATTTAGTTCAGAGCATTGCAAGATTGGGAAAAAAGAGAAGGACTGAACCATTCACTTACATCATTTTGCGAAACCAGATAGTACTATTTTACAAAGTCAGCCTAGGAATAAAAGTATATGAAAGAGGATTTTAACATTGTATTGCTTTTAGTAAAACTAATAATTATTCTATGATTAGAAAAGAAATTCAGGATATAGTTAATAATCATCATCATTTTGCCAATAATGATACATTAGTAATAGTGCTTAGTTCTATCGTAAATGCTATTGTTCACCTTGAATTGAGAGACACTACGTTAGCTGATATCTTTAAAGAGTTAATAAATATTCATCATACTATTTCCTCTTTAGATATTTCACTATTCAGGTTTCAAGATCATGCTTGATGGCTATGGATAAGCGTGCTCGTGAGTTTTCTAATGACATTTATTTTATTGCTCTTTTTTTGTTGCCTAATTACAAAAAAATAGCAATTTCAAAAAAAATATCTGGAGATACAATTATTAGAGCTATCTTGGAATTAGCAAAAACCTGAGGTTTCAATAAGAAAGAAGCAATCCTTTTATATCAGAAACTTATAAATTATAAAAATAATAATTTTTTTTTGAATACTTAAGCAAATACCAATAATCTTAATCCAAAAGCTTTTTGGGCTCAGTTTCATGAAGGTTTTCTACTCTTTTGACATTTTGCAATGAAGATCTTTGCAATTGTTCCACATGTAGCGACTGTCAAGCATCTTTTCTCTAGTTTGGGTTTGATAAAAACAAAATCAAGAAATAAAATGTCTCCTGCTCTAATAGGAATGGTCAGAATGCTTCGTCATGATCTTCAACAAAGATTGCCTGAAATATTAAAAAAAAAAACTAAACCGAAAAGCCAAGGATCAACTTCTACTGATGATATAAATTTGGAAAATGCTAGTGTTGATATTCTTTTTGAGAAATTTGATGAAGATGAAGTTTCACAAATTGATATCGAATTACCAGATTTTGATACGAATAACAATGAGCTAGTAATGGAAGAGTTTTTTGATATGAGAATCTTTGAAGAACAAATTATAATTGAAGAAGGTTCCCAACTCCAAGAAAATACTATCAGCAATGAAGATTGGTCAATTGATTATATCTTCCGACCTTAGCGATTTAATATGCATTAATTATTCAAAATCTGCAGATGGGTGTTGTTTAACAGATTGTATTATATTGGATATTGTTATTATTCAGGGTTAAAAGGTTATAATTGATAAGAAAAAGGCATTATTCGTTACAAAAACTACAGAAGTGGTAACTTTTGAAAAAAAAAAAATATGTTAAAAAAAAAAAAAAAAGGAAAAAAGTAAAAAAAAAGAAAAAAAAATAAAAAAGGTTTTGTATTTGCTGTTTTGTAAGTGATTTGAAGTCACAAATGATCTGTCTACAAGTGTTTTAATAAACTTATTCTTTATTCTATCTACTTAAATGAGCTTTTAAAAAAATCATGCATAGTGAATTTTTAAAATTTGAGTTTCGTTCTTTGAATATCACGATGCTGGTGTCATGGGTTCCTTATGATATTTTGTCCAAGACTTGGTCATGTGTATTGATATATTATAATTGTAATTATCAATTGTAAGCAATGGTTGTGAACAAGATAAAGTTATCAAGACAGAGCATAGTAACTCATAGGTGGTAGAATGTATAAAAAGAGCTTCTTTTCATGTTAATAAAGATGATATTTATTAGATATTGGTTATTAAAATTCTTAGACCCTAATTATTAAAGTACTAAAGTTGTATATATAGATGCATTGCTTTTCTAATCAATATATAGTTTTGTGCAACATATAGTGGCATGACCAGGGTGGCATGCCAGGCAAAATTTTAGCAAGTGGCATGCCACCATGGCATGCCAAATTTTTAATCTGTGCCAGTTATCCTAGCTGTAGCCTTTTATTATTTGCTAAGATGTTCTATCTTTCTATAAAACTTTTAGTTGTTTTTGGTCTTTTTTCTTTTTTCTTAATACTGTTTGTACTGTAACTTAGTCTAGTTTTTCTTCTAGCTAGTAGTGTTTCTTTTTGCGGATTTGGTAAAAAAGGATTAGTAGAAAGAGTTCTTGTTTAAATTGATATGAGCTTGATTTAATTTGATTTGATAGAAACCCTATAATAATATATAGATATATATTATTTTAGAATGTATATATAGAAACAAATAAAGTCTATTTTATTACTATTTGACTTGTAATTTTTTAAGAATTGACTAAGTATATAAGGGGAGTTAATAGAAAAAATAAATTTTTTCTAAATAAAAACTTTCTTAACTTTAAGTTTAAATATTTTAGCAATTATTTTATCAAATTTAATAATTTTTTTTTTTATTTTAATTTTATATAATTCAAGATTAAAATAAAAAATTTTTTAGCAAATTTGATTAAATAGTTGTTGAGATATTTTAATTTAAAATTAAAAAAAATTCACTAAAAAAATGATTTGTCTATTTCCTATTAACCCTTCTCAATATAGCTTTTTTTAATATTTGTTTGCTTAATGAAAGTGATACTTTTACAAGACAATTACAATATTATTTTATCTTATTGATATTAGAATATAGATATTATAAATTTACAAAATTCAAGTGAATATTTTTCTTTATTTCAATAATTCTTCAGATAATTATTGATTTTTGACTTTAAAATAATAGTTGTTAAATTTCTCAGTATTTTTTTTCTTTGATTTAATATATATTTCTTGTATTTGTTCAAGAGTTTCACAAGCCAAAGAAGTAAAGATTTATATATCATATATTAAATAAAAAAAATTATAAAGAAATTAAATAAATTAAAGTTAGATTATTTAGAATCATGATTTTTTTACACCTATATGTAAATCATGTTTTTTTTTTTACTTTGGTCAAAAGTAATTCAACGCCCACATAACCAAATTCTATGAAATTTTTTATTTGAATTCTCCAAAACTGTAGAATTCAGATTAAAAAAGTTTTATCAAATTTAATTGTGTGGGTGTCAAGATACCTTTAATTAAAGTTAAGAAAATTTTGCCATAGCTAATATTTTGAAAATTTTCTTGAATTTGATTGAAAGTATCTTGACGACTACCAACCAAATTTGATAAATTTTTTTTTAATTTAATTCTACTGTTCATGAAATCTAAATAAAAAATAATAACTGAATTTGGTCAGGTGGTTGTTGAGGTATCTTCAATCAAAGTTAAAAAAAAATTTGATATCTAAATTTTTTAAAATTTGATTGAGGATATCTTGACAACCACCCAACCAAATTTGATGACCTTTTTTTTATTTGAATTCTCTGAAACAGTAGGAATCAAATAAAAAAAATTTTATTAAATTTGATTTGGTGGGTGTCAAGATACTTTCAATCAAATTTAAGAAAATTTTTAATCATTATTAGCTATGACAAAATTTTCTTAACTTTAATCGAAGGTATTCTGACACTCATACAATCAAATTTGATAGATTTTTTTTTTATTGAATTCTGCAGTCCCGGAGAATTCAAATAAAAAATTTCTTCAAATTTGGTTATGTGGGTGTCAAGTACTTTCGATCAAAGTTAAAAAAAAACATGATTTACATATAGATGTGGAAATATCAAAAAAGAGTGTAAAAAAATCATAACCTTTTATTTATTGTTATAAACAAATTATAGCACCAGTAAATAACATAACAGTCGATCAAGATGTCACACAGATTAGGTAAATAAATTTTTTACTATGAAATTTGAGTGATCGACACTCATATGAAATTCTCAATTTTTATAGTAAATTATAATAGTAGGCTATTTTCAATTGTCCTTTTCAGGATTTCTAAAAGAAAACCGCATTCTGGACAACGTAAAATGATTTGGCACAATAGATTCTTTAGTATCTTTATGCTTAAACTAAGAAAACTTATAAACTTGAAAAGAATCTTGCTCTCAAAGATGCCTTTTTGTTTTATAATCTATATAGTATTTAGTAAGTTAAAACTTTATATAAAATTTCTACTACAAAGAACAAAGTTATTAGTAAACTTCTACATTAGATTTAAAACCACTTAACTATATAAACTTTCAAAACTATTAATAGCATATTTTTTTTAGAATATTGAGAAGGAGGAAAAAACATTAGCCAATTTGCTTTGCAAATACCAAGTTGACTTCTCTGGATCTTAGAATAATAAACTTGGACTAGAAAAATATAGGAATAATAAACTTAGATCAGAATAGCAAAAAAGAATTAGCTATTGTACTTTGTAAAAACACCACGTTGGCTTCTTTGAATCTTAGAAATAATAAACTTGGACCAGAAGAACAAAAAGCATTAGCTGATCACTTTGCAAGAATATCACTTAAAACTTAGTTAGAATAATAAACTTAGATCAGAAGAGTAAAAAGTAAATTGCAACTTTATTAATTAAGTTTTTATTTTTTTGCAAAAACAATATACAAGTTAATAAAAATATGTTTATAGTAAAGTAAATTATTTATTTAAATTTTTTTGTTATATATCATTTTTATTTAACTTATTATTTTAAAGTATCTTTTTAACCATTTAGGATTCTAAATTGGTTTTAGTTTATGAATTCTTGTGTACTGACTAACCTTCAGTGAACTCAGAAATTAAGAGGTTAAATCGTTTATTCTCTGCTTGTGCTGCTTTGATATTTTACTTTAAATTCTCTATATTGGTTTTATATACAATATTTTCTTTTATAAACTTTACACCAAATATTTCTAAAGTCTTATTATAAATGAAGTAATGCCCAACCTGAGTCATATTTATTGAAGGCACTGTCTAATGATAAAAATATAAGTATATTTTTTTAAAACTATGTGGATAGTAATCGTAGTTCAAAACAATTCTGTAATTTACAAATTAAATAGACCACTATTTATATTTTTTATACTTTTTATAATATAGATTGGCTAGTTGGAATAATTAGTTTGTTATAGCGAATCTTGACTTAAAACCTTTTTTAATTTTGTAGTTATATATTTTTTTTTAATTCAAAATTGAAACTTCTGAAATTCGAGATCTTTGAAATCCAAAAATCTTCACTAAAACTAAAAATCTGAATCATATTTGAAATAATAAACTTGAAATTTGGGCAGAAGAATGAATAGTACTAGCCAATATATTTTGCAAGAACACCGTATTGACTTCTCTAATTTTTGGTTAAAATAATAATAAGTTTAGACCAAAAGAGCAAAAAACATTAGTCAATGCACTTTGCAAGAACACCATGTTAACTTCTCTGAATCTTAGTTGAAATAACTTGGATCTAAAAGATGAAAAGCATTAGCTGTTACACTTGCAAGAACATCACTACAGTAACTTTCCAGATCTTAGTTGGAATAATAAACTTGGATTAGAAAGATGAAAAGAATTAGCCAATGTACTTTGCAAAAACTTCATATTAGTTGCTTTAAATTAGAAGAATGCTTTTAGTAATCAAATTTTTTTTTTTTTTTTTTTTTTGGTTTTTTGGTGGCCTCTTTTGTTTGGGG